TGGCTCGAGTGTTTGCCCAGGAGATGTCTCACGTTGCCCTCCCCTTCCCAGCTCTCTGATCCCAAGCCCCACAGTGTGTGTCCTGGCCTCTTTGTATGGACAGTCCATTGGAGATCCTGCAGATCTTAGAGCCCCTCCTCTCCTAAGTTCCAACACTGGGCACCCTTCACTGTATTCCCCCATGATTCCATGGGAGGGAGAAGTGTTCCACTAGGCAGATGGGGCCCAGGCATCCAGGCCAGGAGAGAAAGGTATATTCAAACCACTTAATATGGTGACAGTGGTTCCCATGCCTGCTCCATCCCCTCCTACATTAGGTCATCTCTATCACTCTCCATCACAGCCCTGTCACTTTCTGTGGGTTTGAGGACAGCAGTGGCAGGATGTCAGATAGTGCTACTGTATTCATTACACCTGCATTAAACACCTGCTCTGGACCCAGCACTGTACCGGGTCCTGGGGACACAGATGAACCAGACAGGGTCCCTGAGGGAGTCCTTAATCACTCCCAGAGATGGGGTCAGGCATCTGAGGAAGTGAGGCTTGGGGAGAGCCCAGGGTGCTGGGGACTGGCTTGCTTGCTTTCATACCCAAGGTGGGCCAGTTGGCTCCAAGCTCTGGCCTTGACTTCTTCTCCCTCCTCTTGTCCCAGCGGCTGAGGTCCCAGGGTGCCTCATACTTGAGGCTCCCTGAGCCTGACCCAGGTGGGAATCTGCATAGAGAAGGAGCTCCACTCTGAGACCTGTCTTTCCACACTGATCTCAGAAATGCTGTTGGGTTCTGGGTGACAGCCTGGTTCCTGGAGGCTATTAAATGAAATTGCAAACTACACAAATAGTGGCACAGCACATGGGGTGCAGGAGATGGGGTTTTGTTGGTTGGGCACAGGCCTAAGTGTCATACACAGGCAACAAGTCAGGTCTGCCTCCCCATCAGAAATTCCACTCTCTGGAGAAATGCCACTGGGCTCCTCTCTAACAAGGATCTCAACTGACAGCCGGCTGGCAAGCACGCTGCCTTTTCCCTTCCTCAAACAATGATTCAACAATCTAAACCTGCCTCCTCTCTGGGTGGTTGCTGAACCCAGAGAGCAGGTTCCCTTCAAGTTTTACTTCTAATTAAGGAAGTGGATTTGGAAACTCTTTTTAATTAACGTCATCATCACCACCATGTAATTAGCATGCAGTTTTTGTGTGGCAGGTACTAGGTTGAGGCTTTGTGTACTTTTTGTCCTCATTTAATTCTCATAGCTATCCCAATTCACATAAACACCCTAATCTTACAGATGAGCAAGCTGGAGCTCAGATAAGTGAACAATTTAGGAATTTTCCTAAGGTTACAAAACTAGAAAGTGGATGCAACAGCCTTTTAATCTTGGTCTGTCAGATTCCAAGGTTTGTGCTGTTTTCACTATGACATGCTGCTGCTACAAAAGCCTCCGCTTACTGATCACCTAATAGGTACCAAGCCCCAGGCCAGGTGCTTTATTTTAGTTTATCCTTTTAACTGTGTTCATGAAATAGTTTACCATTATTGCCAATTTATAACTAGAGGCTCCTACATAAAGGTTACATCATTTCCCTGAGGTCACACACAGCTACTGGGAGGTAAAGCCAGGATTGAAACTCTGGGCACTTGCTATTATACCACACTCCCTCATATAAGAGGAAAGAAAGCAACTACTTAAACTGGGCAGCTGATTACCCTTTATCCCAACTCTGCAAATAAGCACTGTCCTACTGGTCCAGATTACGATAATTGAATACCAAGTAGGTAATCTAATGAGAAAAGCATCTGCTGCCTCACGTTTCTACATTTCTAGTCACTTGGGCATATTTTACACAGGAATCTGTTTGGGGTTCCTTCCTGATAGCTATTCCTTCTTAATCTAGATCAGTGAAGAGCTGGTATGATTCTGAATGAGTCTGGCAAATGCTAGGTAAAGGAATTTTTATAGTAACTTTTTTTTTTAAGAGACAGTAACATTTTGTCAGCTTCCATTATCTACTCATTTGTAGAGCAAATACTATATTCCTGGCCCTGGCCAAAGTATTTCAGGTTTGGAGAGATGGATGGTCTCTGTTTTCAAAGTATATATAACAACTGAAGATGACAGATATATAAACAATGATCTGCTTCTATTACTAATCTGTAATGTGATTTTTAGCAGGCAATTTAACCTCTCTGGACTCTGAATCCTCAGTATAAAATTAAGTAAAATAGATAATATATCCATCATTCCTTCCTCCCTCAGTCTTTCCATTTCTTTATTCTTCAAGGCAATTTGTATATATATGTTTTGAGCAAGTACTAAGTGCTAAAATGTGTAAGATGCAGTGTTTCCCTGGAGGACTCAGTTTAGAGGTGTTGACAGACATGACGCACTCTATTAAGCTACTTGTCCAGAGCTATGTATCTAGTGGCAGAGGCAGGATCTGAAGCCCAAGTTGGCCTCTCTGAGGCCTCTATCTTTCCTATTGCTGAGGGGTCCATTTCCCCTAGCACAGGCTTCTCAAACTCCATACTTGGCTGGCTCCTTGGGGCTATTCAGACCTGCTGGAGCAACAATTCTGAGACCTGTGTGCAGGTTCCACAGTGACTCACGGCACTTAAGCAGCAGGCTCAGGAAGTGAACAGGAGGACATACAGGAGATGTGTCCCTGCTGGCATTGATCAGGCTGGAATGGCAAAGGCATCCAGTAAGCAGAATCCAGTTAGGGCCATAGGCAGCCAACAAGCCATGGCCCTAATTGGATCCCATAATGTGCCCCATAAAGAATGCCTGAGCAAGTAACATTTTCCTTGGTAGGAATATTATTTATATCTCTAGTCGATTAAAAAAACTCACGCTGTGGGAAGGCCTGCAAGCATACATACAGAATCACACAACTGAATAAAATAGCAGGAAGCTTCCTACAGAAGCAGCATTTCTGGCCAAGATAAATGTATAGGTTTTCTCCTCACTCTGGTTCTGCCACTTGAGTAGCCTTGTGAATTTGGGTAAGTTACTTGACCTCTCAGCTTCTCAGTATTCTGGGGGTAAGTTGGAGGGTTCAGACCATTAAGTAGCTTCATCTCTAGGCAGGTGGAGGTTTGAATGCTGCCACACACTATGTTAGGCTGTCCTTGCTGGGCTTCCTCCACTTCACTTTTCTCATCTGTCACGGCTCCTTGCAAGGATGGGCTGGGGTAGTGGAGAGTACAGCGGCTCTTTCATGCATCTGACAGATCTGCATGCCTGCAACCCACTCCATCGTGTCCTAGCAGTGAGGCCTTCTCTTTGGCTTCCCTGGTAACACTCTGGGGATGACAGCAGCCACCTCACAGAGAGGCTCCCATGGCTTCTTCATCAGTCCCTGCTCTTTCCACATTGCACATTCCCCTTGAGCAAGCTTTTTTTTTTTTCTCCCTGAGACAGCCTCTTGCTCTGTCACCCAGATTGGGGTACAGTGGCATGGTCTTGGTTCACAGCAGTCTCAACCTTTTGGGCTCAAGTGATTCTCCAACCTCAGCCTCCCGAGTAGCTGGGAGAATAGATACATGCCACCACACCCAGCTTATTTTTTTTTTATTTGTTTGTTTTGTAGAGATGGGGTTTTGCCATGTTGTCTACGCTGGTCTCGAATTCCTGGACTCAAGCGATCTGCCCACCTGAGCCTCCCAAAGCGCTGGGATTATAGGCGTGAGCCACCACACCCAGCCTCCTTGAGCAACCTTTTATGTGCTCATGGTTTCAACTGCTTGTTGGTAGATGGCTCCCAATTCAAGAACTCTAGGCCCTAGCCTCTGCATGAGCTCCAGATTTACTTACTTACTGCATATAGACATTCACTCTTGTGTGGCCTACTGAGGTGTGTCCCTTTACCACCCTGCTCCCAACCCTGCTCCTGCTCTCTGCTCCTCAGCCTGGTGGAAGTATCTCTATCCACCCACGCATCCAAGAGGGAGATTCCTCTCTGCTGCATCCCTCAGACACAATCAGTTACAAACTCCTGCTGATTTCCCCTTTAAATAGAGCTTGAAAATGTCCCTTACCATTCCCACCCTCATCACTACCCCATTGTTCCCTCAGGACAGGGGCCGTCTAGCAGAGAAGTATGAACATACAAGGTGCACAGGGGCTGCTGAATTAACCATACTGATTTTTAGAGAAAGTTCTGCACATATGAGGCATCACTACATTGGAAGACATTCAAAAGAAATGATTATAAATCCCACCTCTTGGATACATTGTACTGGTTCACTGCCTTGATGTGAGGTGCAGAGATTAGAGAGCTATTTTGTGTCTCTAGTTTTTTGCATGAGTTCTTCCTTCTCCCTGGCACACTCTCTCCCTTCCTTGCCTAGTTAACCATTTCTCTTCTTTGGTTCTAAAGCCCTGGCCTCCTTCCTACCTAGGAGTACATCCTCTGTGCTCCAGAGTATCCTGGGGACAAAGTTCTGGCCTATCACACTGTAACTGTCCCTTTTTTGTCCTTCTAATGAACAGGGAGTGACCAATAAGCGGAAACTGTGTTCTACTCACCTCTGCAATCCTAGTACAGGACCTGACACAGACCTCAGTTAAGAAATGTACAACAGATGACACAACTGCAAACATGAAGATTGTAAGGGCATGTGGCATGGAATGCCAGCAGATGTACCCACCTCCTGCCTAGCAAAGTCTTCTGGATGTCTACTTTGAGGGTGAGCAGCATCGGTACCTTTCAGCTCATCTGGAGACCACAGGATCAGTAAGAGCTGACTGTAAAGTGGATATTGATCCAAGATTCCCTTAGGACCTTTGGTTTCTCACTCTCTTCATCTGTCACCCAGTGGGAGCAACAAAACTTTGCTCATAAAAATTCCAAACTCCTTGGATAGTAGTTTTATAAATGCAGGTACCTGAGGCTGCTTCTCTGCCTCCCCTGACATCACATCAGGAACCATGGAGGCTCACCCTCCTGGCTTCCTCCCACCCCTATTCACCCAAAAGCTGGAGCTGGGGCCCTCACACTCACCCTCCATCAAAGGGGTTCTCCCCGGGGATTATGTGAGTGCTGTCTCTGCCCACCAGGAACTTGATGCGGTCATAGAAGGAGTGTAGGTTCTGCTGTGACACAGGGACCTGTGTCTCCTGGATGATGTCCAGAGGATCAGGGGAGCCCAGGCACAGTGGGTTGACATGACACAGGGGCTGGAGGCAGCAGTCAGGGTCCATGCAGTCCACCAGGCCATCTGCAGGGGTGACAGAGCATGTGGTTTATATTGCTATGTTCAATCAGCCATGGTTATCCAGAACGCCTTAATTCATTTCTTCTCTACATTTTACTCATTCAAAAACGTGATTAAATGCTGATATTAGCCAAGGCCTTTGGTGGGCATCAAAGAGATCCAAGTGATTCACATGTGGTCCTAGCCCATTAGTCTAGAAGGAGAGACAGACAGTAAGTATACAGTGTCTGTACTATATTTTTTCCTTCCATTGAGATAAAAGGAATTGTATGTATGAAGACCCAGAAGTGAGATAACACATGAACATTTGTGCTGCTATATTCAAATGCCGATGTCCAGAAGGTCAGTGGGAGAGCACCAGATGAGGCTGCTAAGCTCGACAGGGGCACACCAGGCTGGGCCTTGCAGGCAAGGTTAGGGAGTTTGAATTTCACCCTCAGGACAATGGGAACCACTGAAGGCTTCTAAGCAAGAGGTGACTTCATCTGGTGTGCACTGCTGAAACCGAACGGGGCCTCAGTGGAAACTGGGGGCCAGACAGGGGAGGAGGTGTTGCTGAGGTTGCACAGGTGAAAAATAAAGGTTGCTTAGACTACAGTATTAACAGTGGCAATTAAGAAGAGTAGTTGGTATTGAGAGACATTTAGGAAGTAAAACTGTAAGCCCAGATGACTGTCTGACTTTGGGAGTGAAGGTACAGCAATTCTCAGCATCTCTCCCAGCCACAGTGAAAGCGCGTGGCCTGCGGCACAGTCCTCAGCCCCCTGGAGGCCTGCTCTGCTTTCTGTGAGAGGAGGCTGCAGGGATATTTGTGCTTTTTGAGTTTGCCGGATGGTTTCAGATTCCTGTCACAGTTGCCATTAGCAGGGAATTATCACATGGATGGACTTCCTCAGGACTGGAACTTGTATGTAGTACAGCACTACTACCTTCCTGAAGTACAAAGAAAGCCCACCAGATCACAGATTTTTGGCCTCATTATATCAAAATACTTTTACAGGCACCTAATATTAATAGAATAGCTTAAAATGATAACAAAGAGATCAGCAGATAGTGCCCCAAGTGGGGGACAGGAATAGCCCAGGGGTACAGTCTGTGTGTTTTGTCAGCAGACAATAGTGTAATGACATGTATTCCTGCCTGGGTTCACATTCTGGCTCTGCTGTGTCTCAGCTGTGTGACTTTGGCAAACTTCCCCACCACCGTGGGAGCACACAGATCTGTTCTGTGTTCCAGCACTTAGTGGAGGTGCTTAAAACATAACTGTTATACAAATAAATGAAAGAGAATTGAATGAATTAACCAGGAAAGCAGGGGTTGAGACCGAATGCCAGCCCATAAAAGCCAGAAAACTGCATCTTCATTCCATTCAGGTAAGCAGTGTGCTGTGGTAGGAGGACCATGAGGTTCAGAGACTAAAGTTCAAGACCCAGTACTGCCCCTAAGGGTGATCCTGGACAAGTTCCTGTACTTAGTCTCTCTGATCCCCCATCTCATCAATACCATGGTAGTAACACTAATATACATACCTCTCTAGTTTTCTCCATGGAGTTTGCAATACAGAAGCTGCCCACCGAAGTATTGCAAGTGCATTGGCTAGACTCCGTCCCTGATCCTCCTTGCTAGGGGTGTGGCCTCAGGTAAGCTACTTGACTGCCCTAAAACCTAGTTTTTTCCTTAATAAATTAGTAACAAAAAAAGCTTTCTGTTTCTTTCTCATTTCTGCATGGTACCCAAAAGCATGTAGTCTCCTTGAAGGCAGATAGTGATAAAGAGTATTGATTCCAGAGACAGAATGCCTGGGGTCAAATCCTGGCACTGAAACTTACTAGTGTGTGACTGTGGGCAAGTTACTTAAACTCTCTGGCCTCAGTTTCCCACATCTCTTAAAGGGGAGATCATAAGAGTAAGCGTCATACAAGTATTGGTTATATACGCAAGAAGTATAGCATTATGTTCCCAAATCTAGCACGGTATCTGACACATGATATCTGGCACATAGTGCTTAATTCTGGGTTAGTTTCCGCTCCTGATCCTGAACCTAGAACATGGCTCACCAACATAAAGAGCCATTCATCCTTTGTCTGCTCACCTGCTAGATTCACTTTGAGATATGGAAGGAATGCCTCCCCTCATCCCAGCATTGATCTGGGTCCTAACTTTTGGCTCCTGTCCCAGCTCCCAGATACGACCGCCTAGTAAAGCACCTGTCTTCTCCGGCAGTCAGCAGGCTCCACCACACATTCTCATGCTGCCCCTGTCAGACATTGCTTAAACACATAATTACAGCCCAAGCTGAGGGTTATTTGCATTCTGCTATTGATGTTAGCATGACAGATTCAACTGTCGCATCTATAACTCTGCAGAAATGCTCCATTATTCAATCCCAGCGAGCAGGGACGTTGACCATTAAATCAGCTAGCACAATTGAAGGGCCGTGAAAAGTCATGGCTAATTTGAAATTTTATTAGCTCTTGCCTGGTCTTGTTTACCACCAAAGCAGTCCCTGGAAGCCTGTGTTTTACCCTTTTATAAACACTCAGTTCTGTGGCACCTGGAAAGAACTGCTTCCTGTGAAAAGGGATGTCTGCTCTCTAGTCCTGGGGGAAGGTTAGCCAGGAATGATAGCTGTTATTATTAGTATATCTATATTAAACTGATGGTGATGATGATGACGATGAATTGCCACATTTATTGAGTGCCAGGCATTGTGCTAAATACATTACAAGGAGTACGTCATTGACTCTTCTATGAAGTAGCCACTGTTGTCACCTTCATTTTAGAGAAAAGGAACAAGAAGCTTGAACTAGTAAAGTAACCTGGTGAAGGTCACATAGTCAGTGAGGAAGCTGACATAGAATCTGAGCTCAGTTCTTTCTGAGGCATACAATATTCTTTAAGCTCTGGAGAGACTTTTAGAAACCATTTCTTAAGCAGAGAACATGAATTTATGAATCTTAGTGAAACATTACTCTTCTGTGCTCCTCCGCCCTCTCGGGCAAACTCCATCACAGTACTTCTCTTTCCAGTATTGTAATTTTGATTTTCTCTCTGTCCCCTGACCCCCAAACAGTGTAACCTAAACGATGAATTCCTAGATATCAGGGGTTGTCTGATTCATTTCAGTATCCCTGGGCCCAGACCTGGACAGGAGCAATGACTGTACTCCACAGAGGTCTGAGGAATGAATAAATGACTAACCAAGGTCAGGCCTGTCCCATTAACACAGGATCCACGTCACGGGACACTAGAGCTTGACGGAGCCTTTTATTCTAGTGATCGGTGGCCAAACGCAAAGTGCTTAAGAGAGCCTTCTCTCCAGGCAAACTGCCTGGATTTGGACCCCACTTCCCAATTCCCACGCAAACTGTGTAACTTGGTCCAAATTGCTTAACGTCTCTAAACCTCAGTGTCTTCACATGCACAATGGGGAGGAAAAGGAGGAGGGTTAATTCCTTAGACTCACCAGTCTGTCTCTACAGCCAAGTGTGAAGCACAAAACTTCCCTTGGGTGTTTTGTGACAATGAGACACAAATTTTCTAGAGAGGAACTTTTAGGCTGAGACTCTGTCTGTAAGCATGGAGCCTAGCATGCATGCCTGCTCCACACAGGAACTGATAGGCCACACCACGGGCCGCTCAATCAGCATTCGTGTCTCTCATTAGTTCTGCAAAGTTTGGCTATAAGCCCTTTGAATATTCCCCTCTCCTTTTCTCTCTAGTCTTCAGGAATTAGCTACTAAATGCTTAAAGGATTTTCTCCTAGCTTTCATGTCTCTCAACCTCTTTCTTAATTTCCATCTTTCTATCTGTGTACTATCCTGATTTATTTCTTTAAATATCTATTCTACTTCACTTATTTTCCCATCATTTGTGTCTGATCTGCTGTTTAATTTGTTATTTGGGTCATTAATTTAAATTATCATACTTAAAAATTTCTGGATAGGCTATTTGGAACTTCTCAAAGTCCACCTGTTTCTTTCTTGGTATTGCCTTGTTCTGTTGTTTTTATACGTCATTTTCTCTCTTTGGTCATTTAAAACTGTATTCATTTTATAGTCTTTTTCAGACTGTTAAGTTCTTGGGAGTGATAATCCTTCTGCATGTTGTAATGACTCCAGCTCATGGTCAGTCATTTCATGTGTGTTCTATGATTCTGTTAATTCTCGGAAGGCTTGCCTTTCCTATGGGAATCTTGTGTGGTTGAACTAACCCTCAAGGGTGGTTTTCTGATTACATTTGCTGGTCTCCCCAGTGGAATCACTCATCTGGGACTGCTTTTCAAGTTGATTTCTTAGGTTTGCGTTCTAGGACTACTCTAGTATGTGGTTTAGATTTCAAGATCTTTTGAGGTATAGGCTTGGTCTCTTAGCACATCTCCTAACCCCCACAAGCCATGGCAGAGAAATGCCTCCAAGTCCCCCTTCTTGTCTAGTAGGCACCATTTTTTTAGTCCTTTTCTCAGTGACTTGCAGCCTTTGAGGATCCCAGCATTATGCGGGGCCTCAGTTCCAATCTCCCACTGTGGATGTGCCCTGTCTGCTGACTCTGAAAGTATTCTGTTCTGAGTCTCCCTGGTGCTGATGCTCCTGTACGTCTCCCAGGCCTGCCGTAGATTTGGGTCCTGTGTCCACTGCTCTGGCCCTTAGCTTCATCTTGTTTCTGGAATTCAGGGCTCCCTTGTCTCCCTTTTCTTATTTTTTCAATTTTATATACAAACAGTTGTTCCTTGTCATCAGAGGGTCTCTGTATGACCTAGCTGGCCATTTTGCTGAAAATAAGAGTTCCAGCAAGAGTTCTAAGTCTCAATCCTCCCTTCTGTAAAATGAGTCATGAAACTTACTTCACAGAGATGCTGTGAGGATAAGGCAAGATCATGGATGTGAGGTACTTAGCAACAAAGCTAGCAACTAAGCAAGTACTTGGTAAATGACAGTCACTATTAGCTTCTGTCCAGGCGCCTCCCTTGAACCATATCCTGGTAACAGTCTTAGGCCTGTTCT